AACCATCCTGCGAACTACAGAGGGTGTGTTGTAGCTATTGAACTACAAAAAATTAGAGATAAACGAATAAGTAATCAGGAACAAAATAAAGAACTGCTTAGCAAACCAAAACCACTTTCCACACATACTACAAATAAAAAGCAAAATGTATCTTATGCACAAGCAGTTAAGAGTAATGGTAAAGTTAGCTATGCGAGCAATATGGAGCCAATAGCCACTTCTAGTACGAATAAACAAAATGAAGATGTACTCACACAAATCCTGCATAAACTTCAAAAGCAGGAGGTAGTAGCTAACGCAATACAAGTCCGACTAACTAAGCTAGAACAAAAACTCAACGAAAATTCAAAAAATAAAAAATTAAAAATTGCTTAAGAATTATGACATGGAATGCGAACGGTCTGTTAAAACACCAAGAAGAATTAGAAATATTACTTAACATGGAACAAATCGATGTTTGCCTTGTGTCCGAAACACATTTTACTACACACTCTTTTATAGCATTCAAGAATTATTTCATATATCACACTATACATCCAGATAACTGTGCGAGAGGAGGAAGTGCTGTAATTATTCGAAAAAGCATAGATCATTATGAAGAAAACAAATGTAGTACTCAAATGTTTCAAACAACAACTGTCACTGTAAAAACAAATAATCAGCCTTTGTCAATAACTGCTATTTACAGTCCCCCAAGGCATACCATTACAGCAGAGGAATATAAACAGCTAATAGGAAGACACAAATTCAAGTTTATTGTAGGTGGAGATTTCAATGCAAAACACACTCATTGGGGCTCACGGATCACAACAACAAAGGGAAGAGAACTGTATAAGGCTGCAATAGAAACCGGATTCGAATTCATTTCAGCAGGAAAACCAACTTACTGGCCGACCGATCCAAATAAATTGCCTGATCTTATAGATTTCTTTCTCACTAAAAAAATATCATCAAATTACATGGAAATCAAACAAGGTTTAGATCTGCACTCCGACCATTCGCCAATATATTTAACTTTAAGTGATACAATCATAACGAAAAATCACGGTCCATACCTAACTAATAAATCTACAGATTGGAGCCTTTTTAAAGTGTTACTTGAAGACAGTGTAAACCTCTCAACTCCACTGAGCACTTGTGATGAACTTGAAAGAGACTATGATCAATTCATTAAGCAAATTCAAAGAGCGGCTTGGAGCAGTACTCCTGAATATAAAAGGAAAACTGTAGGGGAGAACTATCCAAGGGAAATTATGAGTCTAATAAAAGAAAAAAGGAAACTAAGGAAAAGATGGCATCAAACCCGATCTCCTCTAGATAAGAGCAGGCTTAATGAAGCTACTAAACGTTTAAAAGCTGAGATTCGTCTCATCAAAAATGAGTCAGTTAAAAATTATATTTCATCACTTGGAGCTGACAAAAAATCAGAATACTCATTGTGGAAATCGACAAAATACTTAAAGAAACCCATTACCTACACACCAACATTTAAAGACAGCAATGGTAAATGGGCTAGAAGCAATGAGGAAAAAACCGAAGCTTTCGCAAATAACCTGACAAAAATATTTCAGCCTAATGATGTACAGTGTGATGAATTACTGACTGTCACAGAGAGTAGAAATCAGCAAATCGATCGAATAACAAAACGCGAATTAAAATCAGCAATAAAAGATTTGAAAAATAAAAAGGCGCCTGGCTTTGACCTTATAACATCCGAAGTTTTAAAACAGTTACCCGATAAAGCTGTTAACAAATTATTAATGCAATTCAATGCAACAATAAATTTAAAATATATTCCTAGCCTATGGAAAATCGCAGAAGTAAAAATGATTCCAAAAGCAGGCAAGCCGCTAGAATGCATATCGTCATATAGACCAATTTCAATTTTACCAACTATTTCGAAGCTCTTTGAAAAGCTATTCTACAAGAGACTAATGCCTATAATAGAATGCGAAAAGCTAATACCAAACCATCAATTTGGTTTTCGTGGTAAGCATTCAACTATAGATCAAGTACACCGCATTGTCGATGAAATTGAAAGGGCTATTGAAGGTAAAAAAGTGTGTTCTGTTGTATTCTTCGATGTCGCACAGGCCTTCGACAAAGTCTGGCACAAAGGTCTTTTGAATAAACTAGAAACATGTTTGCCGTCGTCATATTTTGCGATTTTGAAGTCTTACATTACCTCGAGGTTCTTTTATGTAAAACACGAAAACTGCTATTCAAATCTTTCTGCGATAAAAGCTGGTGTACCTCAGGGCAGTGTACTCGGTCCACTACTGTACCTGCTTTACACAATGGACTTGCCAACAACACCTGAAAATAAAATTGCAACATTTGCAGATGATACTGCTATTTTGGCGATTGCTGACTCCGTTGAAGAATCAATAGCCAAATTACAAACAGCTACAAATTCGTTAGACAATTGGACAAAAAGATGGCGTATCAAACTGAATTCTGCTAAATCTGTTCATGTGGATTTTACAAATAAAAAAATACAGTATCTTCCTATTTCGATTCAAGGTACTCAAATACCATATGCCAATACTGCAAAATATCTTGGTATAACGTTGGACGCAAAACTTCGGTGGAAAGAACACATAAAAAAGAAACGGGACGAGCTTGACATGAAGTTGCGAAAAATGGAATGGCTGATTGGCCGCAAATCCACAGTATCTATGCAAAACAAGATTCTGCTATATAATCAAATTTTAAAACCTGTATGGTCGTATGGCGCTGAACTATGGGGGAGCGCTAGCCAAAGTAACGTCGAAATAATCCAACGTTTCCAGAACAAGGTTCTACGGAACATTTTAAAAGCGCCATGGTACATTAGGAACAGCGATATACATCGCGATCTAAAATTGTCCACAGTCGCTGAAGAAATAAAACAGAAAGCAACAAGACACAAACTGAGGTTGCAGCAACATGTCAACATAGAAGCTGTTAACATCATAACTTCGTATGGACAACAGAGACGATTAAAACGGCGAAATGTCGCTGATATGGCATTGAATTAGAATGTAAAGTAATTTGTGTAGAAAATAAATTGCTTATTTATGTATGTATAGTATTTATCAGATTCAAGCTACTCGTTATTTATAATGTAAATAGTTGTAGCAATAAAAAAAAAAAAAAAAAAAAACACCATTATTTTCTCTGCTTCCTTCTTCTACGAGCTGCCCACTGCTACTATTTCTTTTCACTTCAACTCACTTCAAAGCAACGGAGTTGCCCTGCGCTCTTTTCTTATAACAGCGACGTAACTCTACTACTTTTAATTACTTTTGCGCCACTGTCATACCTACTTTCCTACATATATATTTAAAATAACCACAATTAATCCTGCACCAAAGTCACGATCGCCATGTACAAATGTTAAATCTTTGAAGGATATTTAATCGCCGATATGATTTGGCGTTCCTTCTTTTAACATATATTTTTACTTTAAATAAAAAGAAGTTTTATTTTAGTTGAGAACTTAGTACGCTTCTTATGAGTGCATTTCTAGTTCTGATTTTTATTTTAATCTTTACTTTCGACTTAACCTAGGTACTTAACGACGCAGCGTATGTAGTTTCTTATTTACTAAATATCTTATATTTATATATATATTTTGCTATTATTTATTTTAATATTTTATATGTATTTTTATTTAAGTACAAAACAGCGCAACGTAAGTACTTTACTATTTAATAATTTATTGCTGAGTAAGCGTCTTCGATTCCACTTGTATCGGGTACGCTTACTGTTGATGTTGTTGTATATGCGGTCAATGCCTGGCAAGCATATTGTTAACTCGAAGGCAAAGTGCCGCCGATATGTGTGGTGTCAAATTCCTTTTGTGGAATTATGCATTTGTTTGTAAACAATGCAATGCGCTTGGAAACAATTAGTGTATTTTTATATACACTGCGCATTTAAATATAGAACCACTTATTATTATATTAATTGTATGCATTGCCAATATAACTAACGCAGATACATTACAGTGCAATGTCTTTCGCAGTGATCAAAAACTCTTCTTTAGCCTTCTTGCAATATAATATTTATTTCCGGAATTTCTCATTTTGCGTCTGTAATGTCATTAGCTAAAAAGAAAATTTGCGTCTGCTCCATATACGTCTTCCATTTCCTGGATGCTACGTTAAATTGGTCTATATCTTCGAAGTCCTTCGCCACCACTAAACTTTTTTAAAAATAGTCTGCTCATATGAAATGTTTTATCCTCGAAGCCAAATTTGTTATATTCCTTATTGATTATTAATATATATAACTTACAATTAATATTATGTATTGAGTTACGCGTTTTGACATCCATGTTTTTATGTTTTGACATCCATGCAGTGTTGCCATGATCAATATATCACATTTCACAACAAAAATTTTGAAAAGCTTAATTGATATTATTTTTTTAAGAATATCTAATTTTGATGAGCTTATAAATTTTAACGCAACATTAGGAGTAAAGAAATAAATAAAGAATATACCATTAACGTTTATAATTATCTATAATTTAAAAACACTTAATGCAATGTATCAACGGTTATAGCTAGGCAAATAAGTATTCGTAATTTAATTGCTATGAAATAAATTTTTTTTAAATTTTTAATATATAGCAACAAATTAAATACAAAAATTAAAGGAATAATTCCATAATATAAAAACAATTAAACCGTAAATATAATATATTTATATATGTATATATATGTGGGGTACTAGGTCCCACTCTAGCTTAACTGTTGTGTGTTTATTTGTTGTCGGTCCGGATACAAAAAAGAGCGATGCATGCTTGTGTTTTGCTTTTATACCATTTGAATGCGATGTAATAACGTTGCTATTGTGCTTTTTGTGTCTTATTAAATATTTGTGGTACTCCTCCCTTAGAAGATAGCCGAATGACTATAATGAAGGTTATTTGTGAGTGTGATTTTCGTTTTGTCTATAGCGTCTGACTGCAATGGACTGTTGTTCAATTGAAGCGGGTCTTCTTTGACTTCTTACTTCGTACTTTTTACTGGTAATGTGTCATGCTTTGGGCTAGGATTGAACGTCGGTTCTGCTGAAACATCTGTATTCTTCAGGAATGCTGGCTTTAATCTTTCCATTGATACGCTCAACATTTTGTCACCTACTTCAATTGTGTATACTCGTTCACTTATTTTGTTCAGAACTTTATATGGGTCTGTATATTGTGGTTCTAGTTTTCTAATGAAAATAGGCCTGTTGCTATGATATGCTGCTGGCGTTAGACGTACCTGACGTAAATATTCACGAAGTTTGTTTAGGAAATTTGATTGATTAGGAGGCGTTGATGAAGTTGATTGGGTATTATGTACGAAGAATTCGCCAGGCAGACGAAGGTTAATACCATAAATCATTTCTGCCGCAGATGCTTCTATGTCTTCCTTCACTGTTACTTGTAGCCCTAAAATAACTGATGGGAGTAATTGGAGCAATGTATGTTTCGGCCTTGCCATTAGCTCTGCTTTTAGCGTGTGATGGAATTCCTCTACTATGGCGTTCGCTGCTGGATGATAAGGCGTAGTGCGGATTCGTTTGGTTCCTACCAGGTCCGCCAAAGCTTGAAACAGATCTGTTTCGAATTGTGTTCGCTGGTCTGTTGTTATTACTTTCGGCGCACCAAACCGGGATACCCAGGTTGCGTAGAAATTTACAGCTACTGCATCTGCGGTCATGTCTTTTAATTTTAATTAATTAATATCTTTTAATTAATTAATTATAATTTCTGATTATCGGCTAAACCTGTCAATCATGGTTAACGCGTACCTATGTTATACCCTTAACATTTTGGTAATGTAATTAAATCCAGGTGGACAATCGAGACAGGGGTTGGCAGATCCTGGTTCAGTATGATCGCGTGCCCTATATCAATTCTTGACCAGCAGGAAAGAGCATCGAGTCTAGTTGCAACTATTTTGGCTTGCTCTTTTACAAGAAGCCGAGATGACAGCCAGTGAAGAAGAGCAAAAAGAGCTTGCGTGGGGTGGAGCGTAGAGCACCAGTGATTTGTAGGGCAGCTATCCTTCTAGTTTCGTCAATTAATTTAGTGTGACACGTTTTTTCAGTTGCCTGCCACTAGAAAGCAGCCTCATATAGGAGAATTGGTTCAATAACAGCTGAATAGAGCCAGATTATAATGCGAGGTTGAAGCCCCCAACTGCGACTTTTAGGAATGGTTAACTTGCGAAATGAGTGCATGAAGCGCAGTATCGACAGACTTGCCTTTAGTATAAGCATGCTGTGATGAAGACAAGAGTACCGGGACTATCTTGTTCCTGATATGCAGATCTAGAACTCTCTCCAGTACTTTTAGAAGAAATGAAGACAGACTGATTGGTTTATAATCCTTGGCACTGCAGTCAGTTGTTTTCCCCGCTTTGGGAATGAATACTACTCGAGATACTCTCCAGCAGCTTGGGATATATAAAACAACTATTGTATATGCTTAGGAGCCAGGGGAGGATGATGAATGCGTTCTGTTGAATGTCAGCGGGAATGATGCCGTTCAGACCTGGAGATTTATATAGTAGAAAGATTTTAATGGCCCACTTGATTTGAGTGTTGGTCACTTGAAAAGGATTAGGGTTGACCAGCAGAGATGGCCCAACTTGCGTTGATGTATGAGCATAGGAAGCCATGCTTACTGAGAAGTGAGTGTGTAGAGGAATATAAAGTTTCTTTGCTAGAGTTGGTCCATTGACCATTTGGCGCCCAGATACAATCTAGGGACTTGTGGGTGAAATTGAAGATTTTGCGCAGTCGGCTAGACTCAGAGGAAGATTCTATGTTGCCACAGAAGTTTTTCCAAGCTGCCCTTTTGGCCCGCCTAATGGCGTTTTTAAATTTCCTTTGCTTTTCTTTATAGTGTACCTAGTTTTCTGTGGCTTTGGCACCGTTAAAAAGTTTTCTACAGGTTTTTCTGAGGTCTGCAATGTTTAAATTCCACCAAGGAGGTTTGAGTTGGCGTGCAGGCCGTGTTTGTGGCGCATCTAAATGCTGATGTGAGAAGGTCAACCGCTGGAACAGTTGAGAATAATGGGAGGGACCAACTGTAAGTTAGACTCAACTTTGGATCGAAAAATGTGCCATTCGGTACGTTTTCTATTTATTGGTTTCGATGATTTGTTCATTTCAGGGTTCACCACAAAATCCAGATCAAAATTAATGTACCTGTGGTCAGAAAAGGAACAATCATGCGATACGGGCCAATTAGTAATAAAATAAGAGGAATGTTCGCTAATCAGGGTAATATCAAGAACTTCTCTTCTAATTGAATTCATGAAGGTCGGTTCCCTATCTATGTTAGCAATCACCAAGTTTTCTGCAAGAATGAACTCAAATAGACACTGACCTCTCGCATTACTATCTGTGCTACCCCACATCTCATGATATGCATTGGGACACCTGTGGTAGAGTAGCATCGTGATCGTGTGCCATGTATGCTGAAACAATCAGACAATCCAAAGGGCCTTGAAGTCGTGTTCGATGGACGTGGCTACATTGTCATTGTCGCTAAACCTAGAGAGGAAAAGGGCTTTAATGTTATTTTTTACTAGAATGAAGATCTTGGTTTACCTTGACCTTCTGTGAATACTATACGATATCCGTTTGTATTCAGTCCGCAAACCCGATTGTTCACAATCTAAGGTTCTTAGATCAGCATTATGTCCTCTCCTTTTTCGGCTAGGCGGAGGGTGTTGGCTGCCGAAACAGCTTTGGAATGTTGGAGGTTAATTTGAACAACCTTCAACAGTTTTTAACTATGGTGCTATCGGGCTCATTCTCTTCCGACATCGGTGAGATCTCCCGGGAAAGCGCCATACCTGTAAAGAACTCGCCAACCAGTTGGGAACACGAGATTACGCTGCCTCCGTCTTCGGAGGAAAGAGTGCCAATTAAATCGGATGTCCCTACATCAGGATTGATTGGAACTAAAATGGAACCGGTTCTATTGTCAGAGACCGTTTCCGAAGATGCCCCCAGAAGGTTTTTGCCTAGCGACTTGAGAGTCGCTTTTGTATACGCCATAGTGGATCACCCCATTGCGGGCCTGAAGAAGTGCCAAAGATTGTTCGTTTCGATGAAACGACAGTTTCGATGAAGACGCCCCTGGGGAGGTCAGTGTTGCTGGCCCTTAAAAGGGAGAGAATTTTGTCGGGGGAGGTAAGCTCCGAAGGAAGCCACACTTTGGAGCGGGAGGCAGCATTACCACCTGGCACAGATGCCGAGGTGCTCGACGACCTAGACCTCCTGCTCAAGCAGTTCTGTTTTGAACCGCTTGAGCAGGAGGTCTAGACGGCTGGTTGTTTGGAGGCGCTTGCCTTATGAGGCTTGAATGCCCCCCCTGAAGGGTTAAGAGTCTTGTTTAAATTGTGGTTAGATTTATTCATTCTAAAAGGGTCCCCACACAAAGCCGCTATCTGGCACCGGTAAGTGTAGTTACTGAAAAAGAAGTCTCATGGTTATCTATGCAAGTGCAGGGAGACCATGCGAGGGTTGGCACAGGTCTTTATGGGAACTGATATGTATGTAAATAATCTCTCCTACTCAATATATTTCTCTTACTGTAGAATTAAGGTAGAGGTAAGAACACTATTCTGTATAAACGTAAATATAATAAATTGAGTCTGTTTCAAACCGTAGAACAACAACGGTCTTTTATGTTGCTGGAATATATATTAATTGGCGACGAGGAAAAAGTGAAAAAAAGCGAAAAAGTAAAAATATTTATTATAATATTTAATAATTGGAAACAAAATTGATGAATCTTGAAGGAAAGATTGATTTGGAAAATAGACCTGAAGCTGTGAAAAAAGAAACTGACAGTATGGCAAATTCGGCAGTGGCATTAATTGGATCGATAGAAAATTATGTAATGGGTGAAGATTTTTCATTGTATATTAATTGTATAGGTCATTTGTTGAATTTAAATAAAATTGAAAAAGATGAAAGTAAGACGTCTTTTCTGATAAGTCTTGGAGGCGCTGACCTTTATAAGACCTTGACCAACGTGCTAGCACCGAAAAGTGAAATAAACTTCAAATATGAAGAAATAGTGGTAAAATTAAAAGCCCACTTTGCACCAACAAAAAACATAATTTTTGAGTGCTATCAATTTTTTAAAAGAGACCAACATACTGGTGAAACCATTGCAGATTATATTGTCGAATTGAGGCAGCTTGTACGAGAGTGCGATTTTGGAAAATTCCTCGATAAAGCTCTTCTTATCAAATTTGTTTGTGGGTTAAATAATTGCAGTATTCAGAACAGACTACCAAATGAAGCAAACCTTAAAAGCTTTGAGCAAGCATGTGAGCTAGCATTGTCGTCGGACATGATGAATAATAGTATAGAGCAAATGAGGTCCAATAGCGTAAAACAGATCAGCGATAATCAATGTGGCAGAGTAAATCATAGGGAACAAATAGACAAAGCTTTTAGAGACAAAAGTAAGCGCAGGTATAATAGTGTAGAAAAAAATAAGTACATTTGCTATCATTGTAAGAAGCCAGGGCATATACAGAAAAATTGTTGGTACAAAAATTATGAAAATAAAAATGTAAAACGGAAATATATAAATAGAGCAACAAAGTGGGACTAGAAAAACCAAGGTAATGTTAATTATTTAGTTGAAGAAAACACGGTAAATTATTTGTGCAATTTAAGAAACGAAAAATCAGAACCTTTAGAATGGTCAATAGATATTGAACAAAACAAATTGAATATGGAAATTGATTCCTGCGCGTGTGTTTCTGTTCGCCATATTTCTGACTATAATAAATTATTTAAACATATAAAAATAGAACCGATGGTAAGAAATATTAAAGTCTTGACGGGTCAAAACGGGTTGGTCAGGCTGAAGTGCGCGTAAAATTCGATGGAAAATGTTATGAGCTTTATATGGTTGTTGCAGACTCAGTGCATGCATTTAAAATTCTGTTGGGTAGAAATTGGCTTGATAGGTTGGTACCTAATTGGCGTAAAAATTTTATAGAACTAACGTTGACCAATTTCGTAAAAGAAAACTGTGAAGTCGATTTTACAAAATATAAGCAATTATTTAGTAAAGACAACAATTCAACAATTATTGGTTATGAGGCAGAAATACACCTTAATGATAATGCTTATCCAATTTTTAGTAAAGCGCATTCAGTTCCGTTTGGCGTACGACAAAAAGTAGAGGAGGAAATCCAGAGATTATGTGCAGAAGGGGTTATGGTGCCAACAACCAGAAGTAAATGGACGAGTCCCATTTTTTTTATCCATGTATGATTACTCAATTAAGTATAAAAATCGCAAATGGGACCTGCGGACGTGCTGTCTCGTTTACCTCTGCAAGAAGATACAAATGAAGATGACGATAGTATTAATATTTTTAACCTTATAGGAGACCTTCCAATTTAGTTTGAGGATATCAAAAATGAAATGTCGAAAGATGTGACACTATTAAAAACGTACAAATATGTTAAGAATATGTTAGGTGGCCAGAAAAAATTGATAATAACTTAAAAAAATACTTTAAAATCCGAATATCGTTAGCATCTGAAGATAAATTTGTTTTTTATGGTAAAAGGATTATAATTCCAGAGTCATTGAGACCGAAAACATTAGAATTGTTACATAATGGTCATATCGGAATCGTTCGCATGAAAGCTGTTGCTAGGACATATGTTTG